GTTCTGTATATATAAATATTGTATATATCACATGTGATGTTAGGTTTTATGTTAAACTTTTGAATTGTGTATATGAATGTCTTTGTGGGCCCATTGGATAAAGAATAGTATGAATAGATTTGTGTTTCGTTATCGGGGCTTGGGGTGTTACAATATACATTTTTTAAAAAATTAATTATATAAGAAATAATATAAATATATTTTATGTAAATGAAAAATTTATATAAATAATAATATTTATAATAAAAATGTAAAAGAATTGATTATATCTTGTTCTTTAATCGATAAATTTATCATAATAAAAAATCAACTCGTACCAATCAATCAATTTTGTTGAATAAGTTGCATTAATTATAGAATGATAATATTCATCAATTTGAGAATTAACATGTACAAATACGATGAATCGCCATTTACACCATTCTTCACTGCCTATTCGATCAATTGTCTGTGCCATCTTTGTACTACTCCGTTGCCATACTCATCAAAATAATTGTCTTCATACTATTTTGCTATTTTTGTCATATTCAATTGATTTACCATATAAAAATATTTCTGTATTAACTTTTTTCATGAAAAATATTGTTAGAAAATTATCTAAAATTAATGTTGAAAATATTTTATGTACATACAAGTAGTAATTATTTTTTGATGTAATTAGTGCTATTTATAGCACATCACCTATATATACACACACACACACACACACATATATATATATATATATAAAGTCTTATATAGTAAAGACATTCTTCTATATTCTGCAGTAGTAGTGCGTAAAGAGAGTTGACTGAGCTATTTATGCTCTTTAAACTTTTACTTTTTCGACAGGGTAACAAATGGAAAATACCATAAAGTCTTATAGTAAAAATTAGGCCAGTTGGCTAAATGGTTAAAGTCTCACAAATTATTGACAAGTAATATTGATTTTGTACACATATATATAAATAAGTATATATCATGTGATGTTGGTGAATTTAGTAATATATACGTACATTTATAATAGCGTGATACATTCAACCTGAGCACGAAGGAAAGAAAGGACAGCCCACACTCACTTGCGTGCACTCTACCTGATATATACTTGTACTAACCTCTCCTGCCTCTTCAGTATATAAGAGATGGCACAGCTTTAGATTTTACATAAACCACTGTGTTGTTCGTCAGGTTTGATTTACACATACACATATAATACATATATCATTCATATATCATATATATATATATATATATATAAATTTTCCCTTTGTGTTTTCACCATCAATGGAGTTGGGAAGTATTGTTCAGTTTCTGGAGAACAAGTGCATTTTGGTGACTGGTGCAACTGGGTTTTTGGCAAAGAGTATTGTCTCTTTACACTCTTTCTATTTTCTGCCTCTTTAATATATATATATATGTAAATTCTTGCATAAGGAGTTTTGCTTCCATGACTGCAGTTTTTGTGGAAAAGATAATCAGAGTTCAGCCAAATGTGAAAAAGCTTTATCTTCTTCTTAGAGCTGCCGATACAAAATCTGCCATCCAACGCTTTAACAATGAGGTAGATACATGTATTATACGAACATGCATATAAATATACAAAGTGAGGCCAAGAAACATTGGTGTGAATATATATGATTTGAGCTTTGTCTTCTCATGTGTCTTTGATAATTTTCTCACCAACCAAACAAGAAAGGCAACACATACTTCTCATGTCATCTTTTTCAACGCCTAACTTTATCTCATTTGGTTATAATGTTTGATTATAATGTTTAGTCTCTTTGACAATTTTCTCACCAACCAAACAAGAAAGGCAACACATACTTCTCATGTCATCTTTTTCAACGCCTAACTTTATCTTATTTGGTTATAATGTTTAGTCTCTTTGACAATTTTCTCACCAAGCCGACCTAACATTTTTCAGTCAAAAAAAAGCCAAATTAATAAAACAGTTTTCTTTTTTTAGTTTTTATCCATAAAAATTTTGATTTCATGACTTGAAAAAGAGCTTTTTATTTATTTATTTATTTATTTTTATTTGACTTCACTACTCATTTAATTTATAATTAAAAAAATGAAAAACTAAACAAATTTTAACACGTGTATATATATATATATATGTGTAAATATAATAAATATCTTAAGTTTTTAATAGTTATATCCTCTAATTTAATAGATATAATTATATTTCATTTATCTTTTAGCTATTTGGATATTTGATAATATTCAAAAAGTTGAATTGAATATGTTTTATAGTAGGAAAAAGCTTGGCTTTTATTGTTGAAAATTGAAAGTTAGTAATTAACTATTGAATTGTATGTACAGGTGATAGAGAAGGAGTTGTTTAGAGTGGTAAAGGAAAAATGGGGTGCAAATCTAAATTCACTGATTTCAGAGAAAATCAGTTTGGTTCCCGGTGACATTTCTTGTGAGGATTTGGGATTAAAAGACTCCAGTTTGATTGAGGAGATGAAGAATGAAGTTGATTTGATTGTTAATTTAGCTGCTAACACCAACTTTGACGAAAGGTATTTTTATATTATTTTGTTGTTTTCATTTCGTTTTAAGAATTTGTAAATTTGAGTCTTATGTATAAATATTTTCATTTGAAAAATTATATTTATTATTTATAATTAGTGTATATGTATAAATTTATTAAAAAAATAATAATAATAACTTTTAACTTTTATACTTCAAATATTATTAAAAATTTGGTAAATTATAAGTTTTAAACTAAATATTTTATTAAATGTCAAAAATCAAAATATTTACTTAATACAATAATATATTGAATTACATGGTGAAAGGTAATTAATTACTAGAAGAATTTAAAAATTTTATAAGAGAGAGTTAATTTTTTGAAGTTGAAAGGTAAACGTGTTTGCATAATCTTAATGCAGGTATGATGTATCCTTTGGTATTAATGCGTTGGGAGCTAAACATGTGTTGGATTTTGCCAAGACATGTGTCAAGCTAATGGTTCTTGTCCATGTCTCCACAGGTTGAGTACTTTTTACTGTATTATATATATATATATATACACGCACATATGCATGAGGTGGATGTTGTGTACTTTTCAGCATATGTATGCGGTGAAGCAGACGGGGTGATAGAGGAGAGGTCGTATGGGATGGGCCAAACGCTTAATGGAACGAGTGTATTAGACATAGAAGCCGAGAAGAAGGTGATTCACGATCAACTGAATCAACTCAGTGCAGGCAGAGCTACCCACCAACAAATAACTCAAGCCATGAAAGATTTAGGCATACAAAGGTACCTCCTACTACTAATTAATAGCAAAAACAATTGTGTGTATATATATATATATATGTGTGTGTGTGTAAAAAGAATTGGGCCTACCAGAGATGGTGAAATAAAGATGGAATAGGGACCTAACATGGTTTCATTGATGGTGGTGGTTCTTATAAATTTGCTGGCATTTTAATTGAAGTAGTTGAAGGTGTAATGAATTGAAGGGTGATGTGGTCACATTTGAATTAATGGATCTTCTTATATATATATATATAGACCATAACGTAAGTATCTCCTTGTGCCACACTTTCCTAATCTTGTTAATTAATTTAACAGAGACTATTATTTTTTAAGTCTATCTTTTAAAACACGAGGTAGTTCTTAAATTTCTTTGTCTGTCAACAATAATAAAATTAGTTGATAATATATGTTTTAAGAAAAAAAAAAAATTTAAATGTAATTAGTCAATTGTCATATATTTATTAAAAGATTACAAAAATAAAATTTAAAATTACTAACTGTGTTAATCATGGATGTATATAATAAGTTGTTTGCATTCCTTAAAGAACCAAACATGTATAAGTCGTTTTAAAGAGGAACTAATAGAGAAATTATATAATTACATCACTTGATTATTTAATAATATCATGCAAATAATTAGCTTTTGACTGTACAGCGGGTAAGTATTCTTCTCTTTCTATTGGGGGGGTATAAACTTGAATTTTGGGTTTTAGGTCATCTGTGGTAGTATTACATGTTATTCTTATTATATCATTTTTTTTTATTATTATTAATATGTAAAGTATTACTTAATTAATAAAATATATATATATTTTTTTACTCAAAAAAGTATTTAATATTGTGCATGAAGAGAAAATTTATAAGGTAGAGAATAAATAAATATAGTAATAATTTAAATAATTACAGGGCAAGAAAGTATGGATGGCCCAACACGTACGTATTTACAAAGGTAATGGGGGAGATGATGGTAAAGCACACGAAAGAAAACGTGTCAGTCGTCATTTTACGTCCAACCATTATCACTAGTACTTATAAGGAACCCTTTTCCGGATGGGCTGAAGGCGTCAGGTTAAGTTAATCTTCTTCTTAATTAATTATTTAATTATTTTAATCACACAATTTATTCTTATATAACACTTATATATATATATATATATATATTCGTACATATACAGAACAATTGATAGTTTAGCTGTTGCTTATGGTAAAGGACGTTTAACTTGCTTTCTTGGAGATGTCCATGCAATTATTGACGTGGTAAGTTCATATTTATTATTTTTATATTATTAAAATAAGAGTTAGTAAATATATTTTTAAATAAAGTTCTAACATAATAAAAAATATGTTAAGATATTTTAATAATATATTTGTATAAAGAAAAGTTGACTGAAACAAAATTTACTTAACAATTGCTTGCAGATTCCAGCAGACATGGTCGTAAATGCAATAATGGTAGCTATGATAGGTCATGCAAAAAAGATATGTAAAGACGAAGAAGATGACGAAGATAAAATTATATACCAACTTGGTTCTTCTACAAGAAATCCAGTGAGATATACAAATCTTCAGGAATATGCCTTCTGGTACTTCACTAATAAGCCATGGATTAACAAAGATGGAAAGCCCGTCAAGGTTGGAAAGATCAAAGTCATGAGCAACATGGCTACTTTCCACACTTACATGACCATTCGTTACTTCCTCCTCTTGAAGGTTATCCTTCTTTCGTTACTTCTTTTTTATTATTATTATTTTTTTTAATGTTTTATCAGATTTTTCATTTAAATTTAGAAAGATTAAAAACTTTTAGTGAAATTCAGGCTAAAAGGAACGATTTTGTGGTTTATTTTATTTTATTTTTTTACTAGCATAAATTAAAATTTGATGATTGATTAAAAATTGATTATATTAAGATTTTGCATAACTTTAATTTTAAATGTAATGTAAGAATAATAATATTATTAAATATTGAAATAATTTTATATTTATATACCATTGCTTTTATGAAACTTATCATTAAATAAAATTTTAATGTAAATTAATTTATTAATTTTAAATAATATTCGTTCTAGTTTGAGTTTGAGGTAATTGTCGCGGTCTAATTTAATTTTAAGACCTATAAATACTCTTACATTTGAAGTTTTTTTTTTTTTTTTTAAAAAAAATACTTATTTCATATATTTGAAGGTTTCTTTATAATTATTTTATATATTATTAATTAAGTCAGACTATTTATAAATTTTTGCAGGGACTAAAACTTGCAAATACTGCATTTTGCAAGTATTTTCAAACCACATATACTGATCTTAACAGGAAGATTAGTGTCATAATGCGGTTGGTAGAAATCTATAGACCATATTTATTCTTCAATGGAGTGTAAGTGTATATAAGCATATATATACATATATACATATAAGCTTTTAGTTTCATCCTGGGCAATTTTTATGTTTTAATTAATTTCATATCCGCAGGTTCGACGACAAGAACACAGAGAAGTTGAGAATGGCGGCTAAGGAGAGTTGTGCGGAGACAGACATGTTCTTCTTCGATCCTAAGTGCATCAACTGGGATGATTACTTCATGAACACTCATATACCTGGCATCGTCAAATACGTCTTCAAATAATTTTAAATGAAAAGCTGAATACACCACCGCCAAAACTTTTATAATTATAATTTAATTATCTTTCTCTAATTTACTTTTCAAGGCTATACATCCATCCAACTGTATCCATTAAAACCCAATGCTGAAATGCTACATGTATGTTG